TTGATTGGAAATATGCATTTTTCCATTTCGGATATCAACTCCTATCTAGATTTCTTGCCTTTAACTATATTTTTGGGAAAATGTGGTATTTTACCATTTTTACTGTATTTACTGTATAACTATGATGCGATTAATGAGCCCGAGAATTATGCTTCTGCACAGTTTAGATACATGATAAATAAAACATGTTTTCCCGTTTTTCATGAAATTTGACTGTAAAATGTATTTTTTGGTATTTATCCTTTAATCTGTTGTTTGGACGTGTCAGGATCTCACACACTCCTCAGTTTCTTTAGTGTTTTTAAGAGTGTGTGTTCCTTCAGCCTTCTGTTCATTGATAGGAGGATGTAATTGAGCTTTAATGCTTCATTTTTCTGCAGGAACCAGTTCAGGGTTGTCCTGTACCTTACCTGTATAGTCTTTTATTGAAATCTGGGACACTGTGTGCATCCGGGTGTCTCTGTTTAACTGGGAACACTGGAAGCTCCGGTACGACAGCTCTACAATAGCCGAATTTAGCCTTTCATCAATACAGACTGTGTTTTGTTGTGAAACCATACACATCGCAAATTTAATTAGTAAAATTACTCAAACTAATGGTTTGTGTAATTTTGTATTTTTATGAAAAACTCAACTTTGACATCCTTTTGAGCTGCTATGTGGGTCTCTATAGCCTCCATAAACACTCCAAACTTGGAAAATCAATCCATCCATTCATTATCCTTCAGTGTTTGGTTTTATGAACTATGTGCCTAAAACAAGCTGTTTCAAAAAAAGTCCCTGTTTGTGATGTCACAAACAGAGAAATTAGCATAAAACCACCTCTCATCTTCCCTCTATTCCGAGCCAGAAATCGAAGCTTCTCAGCTTATAACAGTCTGAGCGGGAGATGGGTGGGCATGGCCAGCTCCAGTTTTTCTTAAACTGACAGAGCCCGAAAATGGCTCATTCTGGAAGATGCTGAAAATGTCAAGAATAAAACTGCTGACTTCGCTTTATGTGAGCGAGATTTTGTTCCATAAACATGCTTTGTATCGACCATAAAATGTGTCCTCTTTAAAACTTTGTGTAAATCATTGATGGGGGGCCTCTGGCATAGCTCTGGTGTCATTAGTTTTCTCTAGTTGTGCATCTGTACCTGTCCCTAACTGAACCCTGTCGGCATGTTGAGTCTGAAGAGTCTGAACATTGTCTGGATGAAGGAGCACATGTAGCTGTTTGTGTATCCTGAGAGGCGTTGTGTTATGAAACATTTTGTAATCACAGACTTCTTGTTGCTGATACTTGTGTGAGAGGAGAGCAAACCGCCTGAAGTAAAACCGGGAAAAGGGCGCATTCTGGTCCGGACGCAGTCGCCACACGGCCATCCCCGGTTCTCAAAAATCACAGACGGAACACTCAAAAGCCTCGAGGGGACTAAACAAACACACAGGCTTTTAATCTAATAACACATGCAGACATGGCGTAGTCGTCGTGGCTTGATTTGTATTTGCCAGTCTGTCTCATTGTTCCTGTCTGCAGTTATTTTAGAGAATGTTCAACACAAAACAAGTACTAAAATGTAACATCTTTATTTGTTTGGAAAGCTTTAAACAAATGCCACGCTGCAAGGTAGTTGCATTATTTATTTCTGATTTTTTTTTTTGCAAAGTGCTGAGCTTTAACTGGAGGCTGTTTTTTGTTCTGCATTCAGAAGAAAATCTAAGTCAGTAAATTGTGTCGAAATGCCAGAGAGCAACAACTAGAGTTTCTATTCCAACTGAAAAAGGTTGAGTGACTTTATCTCATGGTTTGTGTGGCTGGTGAGCAGTTGGATATAGGCTGTTTAAAATGCAGCTGTTTAAAGTTCTCGGGCCTTATTTATTCTCGTCTAGCCAGGCTCAACTCAGACATCTACAAATACATTCAGAAATGTACTAAACCTTCACTTTCAAGCCAAATTTAGCCTGAATGAGTCCTATATTAATTCCGTTTGACCCAAAACCAAGAAATCCATCGAACCCATTGTTTATTAAATATAAATTACTGAAATTTCATGATTTAAAAGACCTGAAAATCATACAAACCATGTATGAAGCCAATTTAGGTACTCTGCCAACAAACATTCAGGGGATATTTGAAAAGAGAACTAGTAATTACATGCTGAAAGAAATTCAATTCAATTCAATTTTATTTATATAGCGCCAAATCACGACAAGAGTCGTCTCAAGGCAGTTCACATAATAAACATTCCAATTCAGGTCAGTTCATTCAGCCGATTAGAAATAATGTTTCCTACATAAGGAACCCAGCAAATTGCATCAGCCAGTGACTTTACAGCAATCCTCATACTAAGCAAGCATATAGCGACAGTAGAGAGGAAAACTCCCTTTTAACAGGAAGAAACCTCCAGAGGATCCTGGCTCAGTATAAGCAGCCATCCTCCACGACTCACTGGGGATCAAGAAGACAGAGCACACACACACACACACACACACACACACACACACACACACACACACACACACACACACACACACACACACACACACACACACACACACACAATGTGTCTATGGTTATATTGTGATGTCTTATTAAATATTCTATTTGGTGAGAGATAAACTTTATTGTATTTATCCTAGTGGATCTCTAATTAAATGGGTAAACTAGCGGTAACACGTCCAACGTCAAGGAAAGCAAAAAGTTATTATCAGGAGAGGGAGAATGTTTAAGTAGTTAGCAGCAGTGTGCTAGACGATGGCCCCCTCCATGAGGCCACCACAGCTCAGCAGAACATCATTGTAGCTTCTTCTGGGGAGAAAAACACTTAGAGAAAAAATAAAGTTAACAGCTGAAATTGCAGGAAATAATACAGTTAAAGAGCAAATTGTAGAAGAAAGTAGTTGAGTGTGAAAAGTGGTCAGTGTTTCCTCCAGCAGTCTAAGCCTATAGCAGCATAACTACAGAGATAACTCTGGATTACCTAGCCTTTTGAGATGGAGGTATGTTGGAGGCAGGGCAAGGGAGAGCCGTCTTTACCGACTGTACACTCCACCTCCCTCTACTCCCCCACTTGTCCAGATCTAGGCTAACATCAGATTTTAACCATGGGCCCTATCAAAAAAAATGTTTTAAACCTAGTCAAGGTGTCTACCTCACGGACTAAGGCTGGGAGCTGGTTCCACAGGAGAGGAGCCTGATAACTAAAAGATCTGCCTCCCATCCTAATTTTAGATATTCTGTGAACCACCAGTAAACCTGCAGTCTGAGAGCAAAGTGCTCGGTTAGGAACGAATGGAACAATGGAGAAACTGATGTGTTTACAAAACCTAGATTTAGAACTAAAATTAAGGAGTGGAATATATCTGTAAATGGTGTTAAATTATGGATTAACCTTTAAAGGGAAATTAATAATAATATATTCAAAAATGTACCAAATTGAGTGTACTAAATAATTAAGAAAATGTAAATTAAATCAATGATCATGATCACACTGGAATTTAGAACAGGAAAAAGTTTAAAATGAATCTGTATGTGTGTCTGACAAATGGTAATTATATATAAATTGATTATTTCTACTAGAAAAGGGGGCAGAAATTATAAGATGTTTTTCTTCATTCTGCTCCTTTTCATTCAAATTAGATTTTTGTTGTGTATTTCTTATTGTTTATATGTTTTATTTGTTTTTATTTTATGAAATAAACAAAAAAAATAAACCTTTCACTTCGGGTTTATACAAGGTGCATACATGCACGTATTTATGAACACCTTATTAATAATTATTTCAATCTTTCTGAATGCAGTTTGCACATTTCTTTAATGGAGTTGTTCATTAAAGGTGTATTTGCTGATATAGATACTGATATAGTCAAACTCTTAATTTCCAGTACCGATATATGCAGGGTCCCCGAGAAAAACTAAATCATTTTCAGTAACTAACATCACATACAGACTCAGTGGCTTAGTTGTAGGAGTGTCCGCCCTGAGACCGGGAGATTGTGGGTTCAAATCCCGGTCGGGTCATACCAAAGACCCAATGCCTCTCTGCTTGACACTCAGCATTAAGGGGTTCGATTGGGGGGTTAAACCAAATAGTTCCTGAGCGCGGTTGTGTCTGCAGCTCACCGCTGCCCCAGGGATTGGGTCAAATGCAGAGAACAAATGTTACACGCCAGCGTGACGCCTAATGAGACTTTGATGCATATGAAAACTTTAAACAGCGTCTTTGCTAAATATGACAACTACTTGTGTTTAGGTTAGGCCAGTTGTACCAAACACACATAAATATCTGAAAGTAGCTGTAAAAGATGTGTCGTTAAAACACTAAAAGCAATACTGATCGTTTCCGATGTTATATGTTAATGGTGCGGAACACTGAAAACCGTTTTTTTAATTATTAATTCCGATTATAATCAGTCACTCTTAGTTGCTCATCTATGGTAAACATGAAAACAGTCTCCTATGCCGATCTCCTGCATTAGCTTCTGGTAGAAAACAGACTGTGAAACTCTAGGATTCGAAAAGTCTGACGGATCTACGTCTCACTGTCGCGTAACGTTCATGGACTCACCCATCTTGACTCGCAACGGGGAAGGCTGTTGTTGGTTTAGCGTTCAAAAACACCAGAGAACGTCTCCGCTAGTAGAAGCTAACCGTTAGCGTTAGCAACTCCACCACACAGCAGAACTCCTCCAGGGTTGTGTTATTTGTGGAGATAAAACATCAACGTTGCAAGGCAGTGATTAGAGTCACGTTGCTGTCATCCAATCTGAGACGAGATGCCCCCAAAACCTGCCGACTGAAGCCCAGCTTTGATGTGGCTCATGTCTAGTTTCCGAAACAGGCGCACCGGGGCTTTTTGTACCCCGAGAACGACTTACATTCATTCCTGCTAGAGACCACTTCAAATGTATTGATTAAACAAGTGTCCCACACCTTTAATGCCATTATCGGCCGATATTTGACATCCCTAGTATTTAATCGTAATAATATTTCTGCTCTTATGTCCTTTCCTACAGTTTGCAGTGCCGGTGTGTCTGTGAAGGTCTATCCTGAGGTAGAGGTGATCAAAGGGCAGACAGCCCGACTGCCCTGCTCCTACTCCGGCTCACAGTCAAGCAGCACTATTGTTGAATGGTTTATTGTAAGTATCCCCCTCCCCATCAGAATATGTATATATTACATAAAACCTTTGTTTTTGATCTTTTTTTTCTATAAACCCAGGAGGAGCAGGGATCCAGGACCCGTGTGGCTTTCCGCCCCGAAAGCGGGGAGGGAGGAAGCGACAACGGCACACCTCTGAGTGGACGAGTCACGATTGGGAAGAACTTTACTTTGACCGTCACGTCCATCAAACCCTCTGACGAGCTTACGTTCATCTGCCAGGTCACAGCTGGTCCTGATGGGTCTGGAGAAGCCAGCACCATGCTCAAAGTTTTCTGTATGTTAGCTAGCACGTCTTTAGCTGTTTTTCTGAAATCGTGTCTTCACTCACAGATTTCTCATTTGTTTTTGAAAGGAAATAATTATTTGATTTGGTGCTGTCAGTGTTAGTAAAGGGTTTAGGACTACGATCTAAGATCTGTGTGTGTCTGTGCGGGTGTGTGTGTGTGTGTTTATGCATCCTGTGGCCTAATCATGTCTAATATATCTCCCTGATTGCATTTGACACCATAATCTATTTAAAAGAAGCTAAATTTTAAATCAAAATCCTGTGTCTGTTAAGAATAAGAAGAAAAAAAAGACTTAGCTAATATTTTTCTCTTGTGTGGAGTGCTGAGCCCTCCTAAATGCCTGAGGTTACTACATTTTATGGAAAAAGATTACTCAAAGGTCATTTAACCTCAATCTAATCACTCTTGACATAATTGATGAATAGTTCCATCACGCATGTCGTGTCTCATATATGTCTGCCTAATACGAGTGCACATTTATCACCAGAATGTTAAGAGTTGACCCTGGAGCAGCTTGTGTGTCCTTGCCCTTCCCACCGTGGGTGCACATGAGTAAGATTCCTGCTGCATTTGGCATTGAAGTCCAAGTCAAATATTTCATTGGTTCAAGTTGGAAAACTCTACTGGAATCTCCCGTTAAAGTTGGAATTGTGATTTGAATACTCAGAGATTCCTAACCAGTCCTGATCTTAAAATCCAATATGTCTGCCGCAAACATGAAAAGGAGTTTAGGAATAAACTATTTTCACATTTCACAATGAATCTGTTGCAGACATACAGTATTGTGTAGAACACACACAGGAATACTGTCTAATTTACCTGCATTCTCATTAACATTTAGCCAGATTACTGAGCACAACGGGAAGTGAATCCCATTGGTTCAAATTGCGAATGGAACCCAGTAGAGTGTGATGTCACTCCCAAAATCAAAGTCCTGTCTTACAAATGAGTGGAAAAGCTGTAATAATCTCCACTTAATGGGAAAATGTTGTTGAGAGAATAACAAAACAAGCATATTTTGGCCACTGCACCAGTTTTCCGATTAATGTGGTGATCGGTGCTTTAAAGGAAAGCCATTAAACGTGTGATTCACTCATGTGCAGTGGTCTCTAAGTAGGAGTGAATGCCTTGTAAGTTGTACTCCTGGTACAAAAGACCCTGGTGTGCCAGTTTCAGGATGTAAAAGATTGCCAGAACGGAGGAGAGCTTCAAACGGCAGGATTTGGAGTCTTACTTCCTGATGTTTAGACATCTCACCTCTGATTGGCTAACAGAAACACGACTCTACCATTGACTCTTTCTGCTCTGCAACGTTGATGTTTTATCTCCTCAAATGACTCAAGCCTGGAGGAGTTTTACCATGTGGTGGAGTTGCTAATGCTAACAGTTAGCTTCTACTAGTTGAGACGTTCTCTGCTGTTTTCTGGACATTAAACCAACAACAGTCGTCCCCGTCCTGAGTGAGTCCATGAATGTGAAGTTAAAGTGTGACGTAGATCTGTCAGACTTTTCTAACCGTAGAGTTTCATGTCTATTTTCTATCTGAAGCTAACGTAGGAGATAGGTGTAGGCAGGGCTTAATTTGAGCCTGACCTTGCCAGAACAAGATCCAGGACTGTTCCAGCAACTGTCTGCTAGGATCCGGCAACTCACGTGACAAACTTGTGCTATATGCAGGATTTGAATTACGGGTGAGCAAGGGAGCTCCTGGAAGCCCTCAACATACCCAGGGGGAGTCCGATAACTATCCTGGTTCTACTTCTATTAAATTATCTATGTGGACTCTCAGGGATTATTCAGAGCTGAGAGGCGCAGAGCTCTGATCGCTGACACGCTCCAGACAGATGCGTCCTGAGCACGGCCACAGCAACATTATCAAAGTGTCGCCACCTCAAAAGAAATTTAACAAGCGATCGTTCATGTCGGCCCATTTCATTTTATGTTTTCTGTCTTTTATTTGTACCTGATGCGTTTCGCTGCTGCGGAGCGCATGTTTCGTCCTCCGGTGATTTTACCTGACAGGTGCGGCCGGCGCCGAGCGCGCACTCCGCTGTTCTTGCGGTCGGTAGATCTTTTAGAACTGCAGTTCAAAGGTAACTCATGAGTTGAAAATATGAAGCCGGGTAGCAGTTTTTCTTTAGGATTGAGAGGAGATGCAGGAAGATAATAAACAGGACAGAAAAATAGTCAAATAAAAACAAGTTAGTTTTTGTACCTGGTGGTTGCAACAAACAGACACCATTGAAGGTAATCAGAAGTGAGGAACAGAACATGAAATAATTATTTTAATGTTTAGAGCAGCAGGAACACTTGAGAGGCTGCAGGTGCATCAGTGAGTTTGTGGCCGCTGCGCAGGGGGACGGGGGAGAGAGCCCCCCCATTCGTATTCTCCCATCTGTTTTGCCTTTAGTGAACTTTGGTTTGACGTCAGTATTTGCGTTGCAGTAACGTTTGATTTACAAATTAAGCAGTCAGTGTAGGAGAATATTTCATGTTCAGCCCGCATGGCGGTAGCAGTGATGGCTTGTTTTCTCTTTAAGAACCTGCTTTAGAGACTTAATAGAACAAAAACACTTGTTTTCCATTTGAAACGTTGGTCTTGAAATGTTTTTTTTTTCATGTTTGGTTTGGTGTATCAGGTAAATGGCGCACCATGTTTTATTAAAACAATTACAATTCAAATCCAGCTCTAGTTTAGAGAGCAACAAAAACAAAAACCATGCCCCAGCCCCCTCCTCTCTTGGCTCTACCTCTTGTTTTTGAGAGCCCTTGAGAGACTGGTGGTCCTTCAGTAGGGAGCTACAAGGAACAGAGGTGGAAATCTTTAGCTAGCAAACGGACTGCCTCCCAGGTTTTGTTGGATTTAAAAGTGCACCATCTAGGGGGTCTTTTGGAGGGCCCGATTCCCAGAAAAACATCCAACATGGACTCCAAACCAAGTCCAAGTAGCAGCAACAAGGCAGGATTTGGGATGCCTGTTGGGTGGTTGAGAGAAAGAAATACTGGTGTTTGTTTTCCTTAAGGGATGGCAGCTGCAGGATGTGATAAGGAGACCTTGAACCAGTGAGTTTGGGAATAAAACAGAGGAATGCTCACACCTGTGGCTCTGTGTGCGTGCGTGTGTGTGTGTGTGTGTGTGTGTGTGTGCGTGCGTGCGTGCGTGTGTGTGTGTGTGTGTGCGCGCGCGCGCGCGTGTGTGCGTGCGTGTGTGGGTGTGTGTGTGGGTGTGTGTGGGTGGTAGGGAGGAAGAGGTGGTCAACCCTTATCTGTTTTTATGCACCAGCTCACTGAGGAATTCTGTGAAAGGAGATTATTTACCGAGGGGTTTTAATTAGCAAGGTCAGTAGATGTGTGATGCATGTGGGAGACAACCACGGAAGGTCAGATATTGTGTGTATGTCCCTCCTATAATAAAATGTAGATAAAAACTTCTTTATTTTTCTCTTTCAGATGCACCAGAGAGTCCACAACTCACAAAGTCATCGACTCAGGCCATTTCAGTTGGACAGTCCTTCCCGTCAGAGGTGTGTTTGTGTGATTCCGACTGGAAATAAAGACTTCATAAAATTATTCACTCCTTCTTTGTTTTGTATCAGATCGGCAGCTGCATTTCGAAAAATGGTCACCCCCCGCCAAGAATCATCTGGTTCAAGAATGACGTTCCACTTCCCGAAATCAAAGACAAAAAAGAAAGTATGTCCTCTAGAAGGCAAAACCTGATTCTTTCTTTTTGGTACGTTTTCCACTAAAACGTCTTAACCTCTACTTTATCAGAGACCTACATGGTTCCCTCTGTGGTGAAGGAGTCCTCGGGCCTCATCACCATCAAGAGCATCCTATACATGCTTCCCACCAAGGCCGACAAAGACTCCAGGTTCCATTGCACCGTGGAGTACAAACTTCCAGAGCAGCAAATCAAACAGATGACGTCTAACGTCATAAAACTTGATCTGAACTGTGAGTGAGGGGTTCAGAATTAAGGAGGGTATTTCATTCTAAAAATCGCTAGATCTATGTTGCTGACTTTGCCTAAATTCACCCCTCTGGATTTATAACATTGTTATAAACAGCGTTTCACTTTACACCAAAGCAGGGGCGTGTCCAGGGAGTGGCCTGGGGTAGCACATGCCATCCTTGGAATCTGATTGGCCACCCCAGGCGCCAACACACTAATTTACCTTTAAAAAGGATTTTTGTTGTCCACAAAAGGCTTGGGGGTAAAACAAAAAAGTATAACCATTGGTGCCACCCATGCACAAAGTTGTGCCTCACCTAGGCCACCCCATTTTACAAGATCTGGACACGCCACTGCACCAAAGCTGATTTTTTAAAAAGTCCGGATCCCTACCAGCTTCTGTTGCTGGTGGTGTTACTGGGTTCAGCTGCTGCTCTCACACCGCAATGAGAAGATCTCTGAGCGCCGACACTCATATAAATAAATAACGTAATTTTAACACACATAGTGGTACATCGGAGCTTTAATATTGTTAATAATTGTCTCACTTTACACTAAAGTGGACGGAGCGCAGTCTCCGTGGTGAAATACCCATCCATCAGGATTATCAATAACTTGTATGAACACATCACATCTATCCCTGTCCCTGTCTTCCTCGTGAAATAAATTAACGTTAATCTTACCCGATAAAAACACGTTCGCTGCAAATCTGAGGCCTGCTATTCCGCTTGATTGATTGATCGCTGCAGTTCATCTCCGTCCTCAGTCTCCATCAAAGTTATTTAAAAAAAAACGAGTTGAGTTTACATCCTTGTCTCTTAGTGCAGCCGACTGCGCAGCAAGCTAAAACCATTTTACTGTCAAGTCAACTAAATAAAAGCGATAAAAGTCTACAAACTGGCTTGTTTTGACTACCTTCACTGGAGTTTCTACGGGTGTAAATGGCATTTTTGTCGTCCATGTTGGCGAAGGGGGCGGTCACATGAGTGGCGTGACGTCACGTGCAAAGGGTCAATAGCAGCCTGTGAAGGGGGGGGAGGGGGGGCGTGGCCAGCCCCAGCTTGTTTTCTTAAAGTGACAGAGCCCTGAAACGTGTCATTATGGAAGATACTGTAAATGTCAAGAATAAAGCAGCTAAAATTGACATCTTTTATTGACAATAGGACTGTTATAATGTAAGGAAAAAAGTCATGTCTCCTTTAAAATGCTACAATGTTCATTGTCACATTTCTGTTGTTTTCCGTCTAGATCCATCTGAAAAAGCAATGTTTAGCATACAAAGCTCTGTTCCAATCAAAGAGGGCGACGATGTTATCATGAAGTGCGAGACCGACGGGAACCCTCAGCCGACAGAATTTGAATTTAAGAAAAATGTACGTAAGCAAACGGTACCGACAAAAATGACTGCAAGGGGAAAATAAAACCAAGAATTTCTGGCTGTTGCATTAAATGTTGTTCTCTCTCGTTTTTCCTCATTCAGGACAAAGACATCGTGGGTACCGTCAACCTCCTGAAACTGAAATCTGTCAATCGTAGCGATTCAGGTGAATACATGTGTCACCCCTTGGACTTCGAGAATCTGGATGCGGATCTGAAAGCCTCGCTCCACCTTGATGTCAACTGTGAGTGAGCCACACACACACACACACACACACACACACACACACACACACACACACACACACACACACACACACACACACACACACACACACACACACACACACTGCAGATTTAAGTGAAGATGCATTAAAAACAATCAGCCCCATGGCTGCAGCTTCACCCTCGCAGTGAGCCATTCTTTCCAGATTCCATTTTTTAATAAATCATAAAATTAAAGGGGCTAGCGTGGAATTAGCTTTAATGGAATCCACTTGAATTTTTCACACTTCATCTGCTACCTTAATGCAATCCCAACGACACCGCCTAGTTTGATCTTATCACACACGTTAGGAGGTGGTAGCTTTGTAAAAGGCTTAACTTAGGCTTCTAAATAGGAATAACATCAGAGTATAACAGCTTTGATGTTAAAAAGACATTAAATAAATACATTTTTTAACTGTATGCTGGAAATTTGAGATGCGTATATTATGGATATTTTCAAAAAAGTGTATTTTTTTAAGCTGTGCATGCTCCTCCTCCAGCCACATTTGTTAGCCGCTGTTTGTTTTCTGTTTCTCAGACATTGACCCCATGAACGTGACCCCTAAGGAGCCTCAAGTCGTCATGCTTGACGGCAAGGTGGCATGGCAGTGTAAGACCAAGGCATCTAAAAGCCATACTGTCCAATGGAAAAAGGTAAGTCATGTTCCTCACAAGTTTTCCAAGTTAGTTTGCTTTTTTCCACATGGATCTTGAACTGTCTGTGTTTTGTCAACAGTTCTGAGGACTTTTGCCTCGTCTCAACACAATTTTCTAATTGTATTATGACAATCACACAAATGCAATGGCCTGATGATAGTCTGCAGGATGAAAACACGATGCATCCAGCTTTAGGAATACTGTCATTTAAATCATCTTGATTTTTTGAGTTATTTTTTTGTTTGGTAAATAATTCCCTGCGCTCTTATTGTGAAAGCGTTTCAAAGGATGTTGTGTCTCAGTTTTCTAAAATTCATACTGCTGAGACCTCAGACATCACGTTAAAAGATGCCCCATGAACTGGCACTGCCTATTGGTGCTGGCGTAGCTTTGGGCTGCCATCTTGGATGGGTTCCTGTTTGCCCCCAGTGCACGCTGGACCTTATTTCTACTGAGGATGGTGCTTACCCAACTAAAAACACATTTTATTATGCTTTTTCACAAAATCAGACATATAGTATGTCATAATATTTAAAATATAAACATAATTAAATTCAATCAAAATATAAAGTCCCAACAGGTAGACTAGAAAAGTCTAAAGTAATCCCACCTGATCTGTTTTCAATAGTACGCTGGCTATTGCAACCATAGGCTGCACAAAATGAGGGCATAGTTGCTCACCCTGCATTGACTCCAGTTGGGTTTGGAAAGTGAGGAACCCTCCCAATATGGCGGCGACACGGTTGCACTCTCCAAATTTGAGCAAACATTCTTAGCGCAAAGCTCCAAGTGCACATAAAGACTGACAGCAACAGCCTGCAGACAAGAAGAGACGAGACTGATTGATTTTTCCACTCCGTGAAACACAGAGTAGCATTTTTTTTTCTCTTACTGCAACCCCCAACTGGATTTAGTGTTGTGCCATTCCTTAAGGGCTTGTCTGGATGTCCCTGCAGCTCTTATTATCTCAGGCCTCAAAGGACCGAGAATAAATCAAATGTGTCTGTTGATAAGCTGCATGCCACGGACTCCCGGTTTGACACTTCTTTTGGGCCAGCGGAGTCATTTCCGGGTCACAGTAACGTTAGTGTTCACCATGGCATTTGCATCGAGGATAACAATCAGCAATGTACACACGGGCAAATCTAAGCCACATTCAGCCACCACGGTCAAATAAGCATTGTTAGTATTTCTTCAACACTGTGCTAACTTTGGCTAGCAAAGAGGTAGCATGTCTCAATTTAGCAAGCCAAAGCAGAAGCTTGTTAACTCATAATGAATTGAGGTGGACACATGCTATTTAAAACCTTTGTCTTTATTTGAACGTGGCGTCTTAAAAAGACAGTGTGTGGTTTTGACCATTAATCTCTGGAAATATTCATGAAAATGTTGAAAATGAATTAAACGATGCCCAATTATTGAAAAATAATGGCAGCTTCGTAACATTCAACCATCAAAATTGGGTCTAAAATACATGGGAGCAGGTCTCGGTCCCTGGATGACGCCATATCAGGCGCCGTGTTTCCTTCTACGGGAGCCCGTGAGGACAGTACGCATTTACTGATTTGTAACAAGCGGTTACAACACTTTCACCATTCATAAACGTCGTCGTTTTAGACATTTACCTCTTTGCTCGTGATGAAAGGGAGTCTGACGTGCTTGTCATTTTGCTGGAGGTCGAACAATCTCACAAAGTACTTGTTTGAAAATTGCGCACTCAGGGATTTTTTTACCCTAATTGCCATCCATTGGTAAGGCCTTACACTAGCACAAGAATACTGCTTGCATGCAATGATTTTGTTATATACTGCCCCCTAATGCCAGGAAAAATTCACACAGTCACTTTTTTTATGGCCTGCATTATCCTGTTGACCATGGTCCTTGGCAGGTCCACTAATGATCATTCAAAAAATGCAAAGGAGAATACAAACATTACTGCAACCTGGAAGTGATTCAGCTGGCTAAAAAAATCATGAAGCATCAAACGGGGGGTTCGTGGCAAGATGTCGGTGTTTTCAGTTGCACACCGACATTTTAGCATACCCTCTTTAGTGGAAAAATAAGTATGCGGCTGCTTAAACCCTTTTCTCATTTTTGCATTTAGAAATTATTGGTGATGCTCATTGTGATGGGCTCCCTCTGAAGGCTGACCTTGGTGCATGTAGAACTGTGTGGACGGGAAGAGAGCAACACGGACATGCACTTTCCTTCTTTGATTCTCTAATGAGGCGCAAACTATGTTTAATTACAAAATGTTTAAGTTGTCAAGCAGCTATTTTGAATTCATTCATTTGCAGCTGACTAAAGGTGACCTAGATGATAAAATAAAAGAATAAATACTAGTTTTTATGTAATTATTGGCTTTGGGACACACATTAAAACATCCTTTATTATATAAAGCCTTCTGTATGGTTGGTGTATATTTCTACTCCTCCAGTTGTTATGAGTGCCGTGTCAGGCCTGTTGTTGCGGCTTGTTCATCTTTTGTTGTGTCTCCTGGGTGTGATAGAAGCTGGAAAGAGAATGTGTTGTTCTTTGGTAGAGAGATTCCTATGAGAAGAGCTGAAGAAGGATTGCAAGAGGAAAGTTTATCATTGAGGATGATCTGCTATCGCAGGGCTGTCGAACAGCGTGTGTGAAGATTCCTCTTCTGCTTTCCCAGCACACCCGCACGCCTTCTGTAGAAATCCACCGCGCTCGCAATTTCAAACACAGAGAAAAAAAGAGAAGGGAATGAGAAACGGATGATACTGTGAGTCCAGCTGGTTTTATTGCACGGTGTCTGTGTTCCTCCAGGGCTCTGAGGTCCTCTCACAAGATGGCACTCTATCAATAGAACCTGTTACCTATGATAAAGCTGGAGAGTACGTGTGTGTCGGAGCTGTTCCAACTGTGCCAGGTCTCTCAGCTGTGGCTCGTGTCAACCTCACTGTAAAAGGTAACACACTCACTAGACTTAGGCCCTGTCCACGCGTAGCCGGGGATCTGCCAAAACGTAGATATTTTTCTACGTTTTGGCCTGTCATCCACACGAAAACGGAGTTTTTTCACACGAAAACTGATCTTTTTAAAAACTCCGGCCAAAGTGAAGATCTGCGTTTTCTCCGTTTTGGGTGTCTGCGTGTGGGCAGACAAAACCGGAGTTTTAAGGTCCGCAACGTCACTTTCCGCGACAAAAAAATGCTGACATCACGTGTGCGACCTGTGTTTACACTAGCCGGCATCATGGAAGCCCTCAGAGCTGCGCTCTGTCACTACCCGATCCATCAACTGTCCAAGCGCTTTTTGCTTGTTTGCTTTTGCAAGCAGAATTATTGCTCCTTGCGGAAGACCACAGACGAAGGACGAGGTTAAGAACGGGGGAAGTACTGCCGCCTACAGGTCTGGCATGTCCTTAACAACGTATTTATCTAGGTACGTGTGGACAGAGTTATTTTTTAAAATGCGGTGGTGTGGATGCAAGTTTTTGGAGGGGCGGATATTCGTTTTAAAAAAAAAACCCGGCTACGTGTGGACTAGGCCTCATATACATTCAGAAAACCCTACAGAGTCTGTCTCAGGAAACCTCAAAAAAGACAGGGAGGAGTCACAAAAGTGTTGCAGATTATTAGTAAACATGCAATGCAAGAAGTCTTTTTCAAGAAAGTTTAAAAAATATGAATTTTTAAACATTTTATCTTATTTTTTTGTCTAAAATATCTATCTAGAAAAATAGTAATAAATAAAGGTGCAATATGTACTGCAGCATTTCTAATCTGACTATGGCTGGCAGAAAACTCAAGAGTTGTTTAAAGAACCGATTTGTTAGTTCTTGTATTCCTAAGAAGCCATGGCACATTTTTGTTTGACTCTAATATTGGGTAAAAAAGGCTAGAGGCTAATGTTGAGCTAACGTTAAGTTAACAAACTTAACGGTGAATTAGAAGCAAATACTTGGTTCTAAATATATCTCAATCTGCTTTTTCGATCACCAAAAACTCAATTTTACAGTGAAATGTATGTGTGAAGTGAATAATGAGTCAATTGTGGCATTTAACTTCTTTTAATGAGTCAAAGTACAACAGCAAGCTAACAGCTAATCGGAAGACAACCACACTTTAATGCTGGAGGTGTATTACCATAATAAGTGTAGTAAGTGCTCCCTACCGTATAACACACAAGAACGCTAGCACCAATTACGTCCCTAATGTGTATGACTCGTCTTTACTTATTATCTAGAATATTCTGGCGCTGATCTGTAACTGGAAATAGCCATGAAACTAAGAACAGGAGTGAGCGAGAGATTGCAGTAACCAAATTTGACCACAAGATGTCAGGTTTTACTAAATTCCTACATGTTGCACCTTTAAAATAAGATAAATATTCTTTAATATTATTCAGATGCTCTTGTTTTGAATTTTTAAAAAATCTGCCATTGGGATTAGCAAAAGTTGCTAATCTACAATTCTTGAAATTAGCAAAATAATCTGTTAGATCTGTTAGATCTGTTAGATTTAGCTATTTTTAAAAATTTGAGCCTAGCAACTTTTGCTAACCCCATTGGCAGATGTTTTTAACTCAAAACAACAACATTTGGATTATGTTTAAGAATATTTACGTTATTTAAAGTAATGCTATTTTTCTACATAAGGATTATTTTCTTTTTAGACAAAAAATAAGAAAAAAATGTCTAAAAATTAGGCTTTTTTATTTTCTTGAAAATCTGTTTTTGCAGAACTAAACGCCTTTTTTCATTAAAATAAAGAAAAGGGCTGTTTTGAAGGCAAAGGGTCACACAAATATTGAGTTAATTTAGATTTCTATTTAGTGCAGTCACTGCTTTTTGTTGGCTGATATAAGTAAATGATTCGCACTTCCTTTTCTGAACGCATTCTTTGTGTGCAGCCTAAGACTTTTGCAGTCCTGTATACATTTAACAACAATCGAGAGTCGAGCGGTGAGATTTTAAAACACCTGCTGCATTAATTGAGCCTTCTGTAAAGATATTTTTAGATAATCTTCTTGACAGATCACAGCTGGTATCATCACAGCTGCCTGACTTGGAAATAAAAGAAGTTTTTCAGCTCTCTGCAGGTCTGAATCTCCACTAGAAAACATTTGGTGTCTTCAGGAAATAAAAAAAAGTTAGTTAAAGCAGACATGGTAAAGCAGCTGCTATTCTGATTCTTCAAAACTAACATCTAACTTTATTAGATCTTCGCTGTCAGGGACGTTCTATGGTGTGAGCAGAGAGCACGCTTCTGCATGATCGGAACACAAAGACAATGTCAGCGGTAGAGAGGTCAGAGTATTGTTGTAGTTACAGGAAGTAGTTTGGTAGCAGCTTCGAGGGAATATTGCTTCATTCCGTTGATTCATTCCATAAGGACACGATGAGATTTTCCAATATTTAATTTTTTTACGTTCTCTTTCCAGGAAAGCCAGTGATTGAACCTGCGTCTGCTGGAGAGGTGATGAAGGAGGGAGACACTGTGACCCTGAAGTGCACGGCTTACGGTCATCCCGCGCCTCAGTTCACCTGGACGCCCTCAGGGAAGCAGGTACAGAAAAAAGCAGTTTAACTTTAAGCTGTGTTAGTATTTTATCAACATTTCGTCCCACGTGTTCATGCCTGACTCCGCTGAAACTTCTAATAGGCTGTACAGAAACTCCCCAGCGACGCAGCGCTAAAGAACCGTGCATAAAGAATTCAGATTCATTATTAATACGTTTCATAAAATGATGAAATATAGTAAAAATTTGATCATATTAGAAGAAAATCGCGATGAAGAAAATATCAAAGTTTTTTTTTTTAAATCACCACTTTTTGTAATGGTCATTCATAAAAGCAGAAGCTGAAAGCAATGATTGTAAAGCAAGAAACCACTTTTATTATTATTATTATTATTATTATTATTATTATTATTATTATTATTGAAACAGTCTGTCACTCTGAGTTTAATATGCAGGCTGAATATAGTCTTCTACCCCTACTTCCCGCATCAGGCACCGATATAAAATACTGCAGATGATGAAATGCTCGAGTTACAAAAGCTAGTTAAATCTACGTCACACTGAAAGTTAACGTTCATGAACTCACCCATCTTGGCTCGCGACGGGGAAGGCTGTTGTTGGTTTAGCATCCAGGAAAGCAGAGAACGTCTCAGCTAGTAGAGGTTAACAGTTAGCATTAGCAACTCCACCACGCGGCAGAACTCCTCCAGGCTTATGTTATTTGGGGAGATAAAACATGAGCGTTGCAAAGCAAATCGAGTCAGTGGTAGAGTTATGTTGCTGTTATCCAATCAGAGGTGAGACGTCTAAAAAATCAGGAAATAAAACTAAATCTTGTCGTGCTCCAGCTACAGCCATAGATATTGTTTGTACTAGAGACCCCTCCAGATGTGTTGATACATGTCTTTTGTGTGAAATCTCATGCCTTCTCTCACGCTTCCTTTCAGTCCGTCACGGTGGAAGGTAACAAGGTGGTGAGCACCGTGACCCTAGAAGCTACGAACGACGTTATGCAGAAAGGGGTGACCTGCGAGGTCGCCAACGAGTACGGGAAAGATAGCATGCCCTTCCCTGTAGCTCTCAAACGAGGTCAGTATGAAGCTCTGCTTTCTCACTTTTCTACCCGCTGAAATGATAATTCCGATCTTTTAAAGTAAAAACCATTTGTTCCTTCTAAAGTCACGCGTTTAAACTCACCATTAATTCATTCAACCTTCAGGTTTTCTCCTATGACACGCTCGTGTAGCTAATGCTATTCTAAGCTGTTTGTACTGAACGACTAACAGCTGCCCGCGGCATAACGACAGTTTTCTACTCTTCGTAAACTCGACCTTTTCCTTTTGCGTCTTCTCCTCCTTCTCTTTCAGACGCTGGCGGCTCAGCTGAAGGTAGAGCCTCCTCCTTCCTCCTCCTCCTCTCCTCCCTTCTTCTCTCAGGACTCTTTGTTGTACAGACCCTGTAATTTAGAAACTTCCCATCCATCCATCTCCTCTCCCCCAGCTCCTCCATCTTTTTTCTCACACACCTATACAAACACACACACACACATTCATAACACACACGACACACCTTCCTCTGCCATACTGTAATCTTGTATATTTCCCCTCTTGCTACCAGACACTGTGGATATTGTATATTGTTATTCTTCTTCTCTTGCCACCTTTGTATGATGTCTGTCCTATATTTTGTGGATGCTGATACATTTTCTGTGGCCCCTTTGGGGACAATAAAGGATTTTATTCTCTTCTATTCCTTCCATTCCTTTCTTCGTTTCTTGACTGTGTGTTTCTAGTCATCCCTTCTTCCTAACTGCGTGCTCTTTACGTGTCCAACATTCCCACTTTCCGGGTGCTGTGTGTAGGTAGTGGCTCTGTCTCAGTGGTGTGTGTGTGTTGTTGCTTTGCTTTGCTACGGGACTGAGAAACTCTCTTTCTTTCAAAGTGCTGCTCTCTGGAAACCCTGTGCTAAAGTCAGGTCTGTATGGCTAACCCTATGGGCGTGTCCTGTAAATGGTGTTCGTCTACAACTGTAAGATACTGTGTGTGTATTTATGTCTGCCTACACACACAGGTGAATGTGTCATGTTTTCTTGTACCTGTGGCTTGTTTTACTGTAGTTGAGAGGACGTGTTATTACGGCGCTCATTAAATGAGACAAATTACTATTTTTTTTTAGCATCACTTTATAAAATTATGTTAAAAAATAATCAAAAACATAGATTTTTTTTGTTGGTTGCAGGTAAGAAAAAAAAGATTCATTTGTTATTTTCACAATACAAAACAATATAAAACATATCGTCTCAGCCGTTGTGTCATCTTAAAAAGTCAGTTGGATACAGCGGGCTGGTTTAATGGTTCAGATGAAGGCAACTGGACTTCTTTGGTTTCCTGAAGACGTTTTGCTTCTCATCCGAGGAGCTTTGTCCAATCTGACTGTAAAATTGGAGGGTCAAGCTTATAAGCTATAGCTGTCTATTGTTTTTTAACGAGCAGAAACTACTCTGAGTACCCCTCCTGTCTACCCCTGATGAGTCGTTAGCTTCTATTGAGAGAGGGAGTCGATGATTAGACGCAGGAAGGTGTGACCTTGACTGAAACTGCTTAAGCTGCATTATAGTTACTGGAAAGGTGAAATCTAAGCCCACCTCCACTATTTAATGGGACATTATGGAAGTTTGACAGTCAAAACATGTATAGAAATAATAAATGTCTTCTTCATACATTCTCCTGCAATGCCCTGGTCCTGTAGAATGAGCCCTGGCATTTTTACTGTGATTGCCTGTTTTTCTGTAAAATCACAGAAAAAGAGAGATGCTCGGGTCGAGCAGGCTGCTTCATGCGCGTTCACGCTCAGGCATCGCCCGTAGCATTTGCTATCCGTAGCTTTAGCAGCAGAGAGAGAGGCAGTGCCACTTTGTCGCTGTTCCTAACGCCTAGTGACAAACCTAGCTACATTTCTGAGGACCCTTAGCTACTTTCTGTAGAACTTTCTTCTAGATATTTCCTGCAAATTAACAACAAAATAGCCATTTTCGCTTCGAACCGTTCTTTGGTTTGACGTTGTTTCAGCTGTCATCAAGGATATAAAAGTTACAGATGCTATGAATGTTACTAGAGTGTAGCTCACCTTGTAAGATGTCTGACTTTCATGCAGAAGACCTGGGTTTGATTCTGGATGTGAACATAGTTTATTTAGAGTTTCTTTTTTTACGTTAATGGTATATTTTTTCACAGTAAGATGCCCAAATTTTTATTTGAGACTCGCCGAACGGCATTGAATTCACAGATAAAAAAGATGTGGGTTCAACTTTCATTTTGGAACAATTTTTCAAGCAAGGGAAGGGAATGATCTGAGCATGCAGGAGGACTGACCCATCTTAAACCTTTGTCGGCTGTGCTGAAGAGAAAGGTACAGAACCACATTATTTAATTAATTAGCTGCGCGTTCTCCTGTCCTCCAGACCACACACACACACACGGGACTGTCTCAGCTGTTATTTTCGTTAAGGAGTGTGCACGTACAGCATGCACGCCTCGTGCACGAGCCTACTATTGAAGCTGCCACTGCGCTTTTGGCCTGAGGGGGCAATCACGAGCATAAAAATTCAAAAGTCAGTAAAAACCCTTTAATGTAGGTTAACCTAAACTTCTGCTGAAGCGAAATATCTTCAAGTAACCAAAGAAGTCTAGTTGTCTTCATTTGAACGCTTTTGGATTACCATGGCCTGGATGACTGAGAACCTTCGCCAGCATACATTTGAATTAATGATCCGCCATCAACTTTTAATATTAAAATATGTTTTCGTGAGTGAGATCTAAATACCAACTTTTATTATCCCATTTGATTAGTTTGATTTAGGTTAAAGCCACTCTCTTTTTCTTTTTTAAATAAAAAAGAAGCTTGTGAAGTAAATTTAATCTTGAAATAAGCTTTATAAAAACACTTTTTCATCAGTACAATATTTTCCGTAGAATAATCTGTTTTTGCAAAATGCCAAAAAACGTTTGATTTTAGTGGATTGGTGAAAAATGGACCCAACTTAGTTTAGCTTAGTGAAAAAACTTTCTGAGATGTTTTTATTTTGTTTGCAAAAATTATTTTCAGCTCATTTGAGTTTTTGTTTTCCATAAACTAAAGACACAACATAATGTAATCCTCATAATTTAGAGACGTAAAACTTTCCAAAGTCTTGTATTTGCCGTGAGGTTGCTAGGCAACCAGATGTGATCCATAGAAACGGTCCATCAACAAAAACCGTCAGTAAGAGGAAACGTTTTATTACCTTTTAAAGAGAAGCGTAGAAAAGAAAGAATGATCTGAATTTATTTAGAGTTTTAGCATCATGTCCTCACAGTTACGGTGACACAAGCGTAGGTGGGTGGGTGGGTGAGTATGTCCCGTGTTGTTTTCCGATTCTGTTGTTACCTGTGAGGAAACAGGCCCTCTTATTGGGTCCCATCACATCTCAGTCATAGCATTCAGAAGTTAGACTAACCCCACATCCTGACCCCTTCCCCTTATTATCTCCACCCCCCCATCCTTCCATCCATTAACACTTTTCACCTGAATCACACCCACCCCCTACCTTTTACTTTCAATCCACCCCCAAATGACATCACCCACCTCTTCCTCCTCCTCCTCTGCTTTTTCCACCTCACTAATCAAACTCCCCTCACGGTGTCTCCCCTCCCTTTGCAAATAAAAAAAAATCCCTCCTCCTCATTCCATCCCCTCCGCCTTCTCCACTTTGATCAAACCTCCATTCCTTCGCCCCACCTTCAAAAACTACTGTCCCACCAACCCTCCACCCTACCATCCTCCCCTCCACCCTTCCCTCCATGTGTCCTTGGTTGCGGTGATGTAGCTGAGAGTCAGCAGGGAGGCTCCAGCGCGGTGGTGATAGCCGTGGTGGTGTGTGTTCTGCTGCTCCTGCTGCTGGTGGCCCTCATCTTCTTCCTGAGTAAGAAAAGCAAGCTACCCTGTGGCAAGAAGGACAAGAAGGAAGTGTGAGTAACGGGGAGCGAAGGGCAAATGGGATAAAAATATTTTAAAGCCAGCATCTCACTGGGCAACTGGACCGTTGGCAACAAAAAAACTCAAAACTTTTGTGAAACTTCTCAATTTCTAACTGATAGGAAATTTTAACATTTAAGATAATTTCACCTCAAACTCATCAGAATGCTTGCAGGCAGCTGGGACGGTTTTCTGTTTCATTTTTGTGAGTCTAAAAGTGCTAGCCTAGAAATCTAGACAAACCGTAGCAGCGGTAAAACGATTCAGCCCTGCAGGTAGCAGGTCGACTGTTGGCTCGGCTAAGTTCGGGTTGATGCAATCGCAGCGCTCGATGTTTGCAGAGAGACGTTGGGTGGGCTTAACACCATTACTGCAGAGCGTTTGTTTCACGATGATGGAAAAGCTGCGACAGAGCAAACCCACAAAGATGGTAGCTTTTTTACGGCTTTGGTATCAACATTGGATGATGTAGACGTGGGCGTTTCTTTGAGACATAAGCAGATCGAGGTACTTAGGTCCTTTATTTTGAAAAAGGATGATGTATGGCAAACTGTTTTCAGTTGCCATGAACACATCACCTTTTTCGTTGCTCTGATTGGTCCTGGCGCTGTCCAGTTGCGTGCAGAGACTATGACTAAGCTCTGTCTATGGGTCATGGCCAGACTATTTACACATTCAGGCGAGACAGATTTATTAATATAGCACATTTAATAGACAAAAGCAATTAAATGTGCATAGGATGGCTTGCCAGGCTACAAAAGTGCATGGACAGGTTTAGGTCAAATTAAGACACTTTCAAGGCAGGTTTTTGACTAAAATGCTGCAAAAAAACAACAACTCAGCTTTTAAAAAAAACTTTTTACATTCTGTATTTTCCAAACTAGTCATCAACAGTCGTAGCCCGGTGAGAAACTGGCTTAAGATCCAGCGAAGAGATTCTTGATGAATCTGTGACGTTTTTTTGTTTTGTTTCCTTCATTAACGTTTCAACCTGTGGTTCTGTTCAGGGACAAGACCGAGGTGAACAACGACATCGTGGTGGAGATGAAATCTGCAAAGACCACTGAACAGTCCGAACTTCTCATCAAAAACACGTCCAAGGAACAGGTTAGGCCAGCGGGAACTGGGAGGTCAGGGGTCAGAGTTGGGAGTTTGGCTGAGCAAACTCCAAGGGTCTAAGTTAACAACAAACAGCTGAATGAGCAGAAGATATCTCCACAAATATAAAACAAATTTAGCGACTTTTGATGTACCTGAAAGAGGTTCAAGAAGATTGTACTTGCTTTTAAAGAGCAGCGTCACTGAAAAAACATTTTTGCTCTTTTACACTTGAGCCCTTTTCAGATGGACATTCTGGAACATTTGTGGACAATTCAATCCGGTTTTTAACCGGAACTGTGTTTTCAGACACACCACTTTTGTACCGGAACTTGTCCTTTCGGCTGCGTTCACACAGCAGGGAAATTTCCAGATGTCTGACGGCGGCGGTGGGGGGGACGTATGTTAAGAAGAAGAAGAAGAAAATATCATTTCCATAGCGCCTCTCAAGATAAAAAATCACGAGGTGCTTAAGCATAATTCTGCGCACACGAAGATGCATAAGAGACCTGGATGATGAAGCTCAATGGTTAAAGGAATCACTGAAGCGGTGTGAAGCGCTCCGTCGCGCGTCTAGGCGGTACCGTAGGAGGCGAGCTGCCGTGGTTCGCCGCATGCTACAGCAGCGAGCTATCTAGGTGCGCACAGCGTCCCCCGGTCCCCTCCTCCTCCCCCTCCCCCTTGTCCGGAACTCTATCTCACCAGTCTGAAGCAGCCACCCTGTCCGTAACAAGTCCGGACCTGTTACTAGGGGCTTCGTCCGGATAAATTCCGGAACACGTTATCCGGACGTTTGTATTCAGACACAAACGTCTTACGGCCAGAGTCCGGAACATTTCCGTTTTTCATGGCCTGTCTGAAGGGGGCTTTGGTGTAGAAAATCCTGACATTCATGGACTCACCCATCTTGACTCGTGACGAGGGAGGTTGTTGTTGGTTTAGCACCCAGGAGAGAGCAGAGCTCATCTCGGCTAATAGAAGCTAATCGTTTGCATTAGGAACTCCACCACACAGCAGAACTCCTTCAGGCTTGTGTTATTTGTGGAGATAAAACATCAACGTTGTAGAGCAAAGAGGGTCAGTGGTGGAGTTGCATTGCTAGCCAATCAGAGGCAAGATGTCCAAATATCAGGAAATCAGACTCCAAATCCTGCCGTCTTCTTCCTCTTTCTCTGGCTAGCTTCTGTGTCCTCAAAGAGGCTCACTGGAGCTTTTTTTCTCTAGAATAAAACTCTCAAGGATTAATTCACTCCTACTGGAGACCATTGCAGGTGTGTTAAAAATATGAGTAAAGTTGAACTTTAACAGAGAATTTTTCTCTCGAAAAAAGTGACGTGTCTTTGCTGTCACTACAATTAAAGTCAAGCTATAAATGTTCTCCTAAAAGCTTTCAGTCTTCATTCTGAAAAATGTGCACGCGCACCACACTATCACACGTAGCTGCCGGCCTTGCACTCGCCCCTTCTAGCAGTAATTTGAAATGCATTTCTCCAAATAGCTTGCCAAAGTTTGGCAAACCTGTCGAGCAGGAAACTGGCGACTGTCTGTGGGTAGCCCAACCTTCTCTTTCAGCACACGCCATCATTGAAAAGAGTCCTCTATTTCCCTCTTTGGATGCATTTCTCTTCTTATCGTACACTTAAGCTGTCTTTACAGGACCAGAGCGTTTGCAAAACGGGATTTGCCGCGGCTCCCTGGGGAGGATAAAGGTCGTTTATAAGATCAGACCGTGACGGTAATGTGGCGCAATTGTGGCAATTTTATAAAAGATTAGGTGATGGCGGCATAAAGGGGGTATGGGGGCGGTCTCTGCGCTGCCGCAGACTTCCGTTTGTCTTTGACATAACTTGCTTTTTATTGTGATTGAAGCCGTGATCGTTAAAGAGCAAGTTACCCCCCAAATAAACTTTTTTTGCTGATAAACTAAATAAACGAGTGTCTAATCGTGCTGCAGACACGTGTCGTCAATAATTTGACACTTCGGTGCATCTTAGTTAAAATTTAAATATTCTGCCTAAAACTGGCAGTGTTGTGCCGTTGTCAGGTAAAAACTCTGCACTGCATTCTAATTTAAATCTGCCACGCTATTGGCTAAGAAGTATGCTATGATGTAAACTGGTACGTTGTGATGTCACAATGCTGTTGTGAACCTGTGTGTGTGTGTATTTGTTAGCAGCTCCGCCCTCTCGGTCTGCCAGGCAACAGCATGTGTTGCATTTTTCAAACATTAAGTGGGAGTGGAGTTAGAATCTGATAGGGGGTGACTTGCTCTTTAAGTTTTTTTTAACAAGCAGCTCCTAAAGGTGTCTGTCCCCATCATTCCCTGTGCACTCTCTGGTGATCTGAGCTTCAGCTCTTACAGAGAGGCTCGTGGAGCGCTGCGGCGCTCCAGTTTGCCATCTCAGCTGATTTTGTTCAAAAAGCAAACTTTATTGCCTGTGTTTACTTTCATTTTCAATAAATTTGCCAGCCGGAGCTCAGCAATAACTCCCCATGTCATCATGACATCTGCCTCTGTTGCGCCGGGGAGCATACGACAGACCATTACTGCAATATTACTACCAAGCGAGGCGGAACGAATGCCGCGAAATTCGCGCAACGCCATGCCGGCATGGCGCGTTCATTGCGGTAATATTACGCCGATTTGCCGGCATGGTCCGTCTTATAAAAGAGGCTTATGACACTTTTTTTGTTGTGACTTCAAGCCATTTTAAAAAAAAAACTCGGTGAGAACAGAGAGGTAGAACAAATGTAAAGTGCCCATGCGTACGACGTGAAACTAACCCGGGGCATAGGAAACCATTATCCAGCAGGTTTTAGAGGTATCCCTGCTCCAACACTGTTAGGTCACCTGTTCAACAGCTCATCAGGCTCTGCAGAAGCTGGTTAATCACCTGCAGATAAAAATCAGGTGTGTTGAAAAGTCACTCAAACTCCTTATGTGGCCAGAATATAGCACTTGCAACTTCAGAGTGGTGGGCTGCCACCTGTTGAACTTACAAAAAGTGAAGCTCACATTCCAGTGATGCAGTCTGCTTCCAGCATGTTTCCTGAATATTTTAGATCATGAACACAGCTGATTTATTTGATTTAGTGATGAACCGCTCCTGTAGACACTAATGAAGGCTGGGGAGACATTTCAGCTGTTAGATTAAGGTGTTAAAAAGACGAATGCACAGCGAGGAGATACGTTTCACTTTTGGCCCTACAAAACTGACACTAAGGAGTGCTAAAACAAGCCAAAACTGCCAAGAGTGCATTTAAAAATGAGCTTTGAGTCTTGTGTGAACTATTAAAAACAAAAGGTCAGTTTGTTGTTTGTTAGTGATTTTTATTACTAAAGATAAATCCCCTCATGCCTCTCATCTTTGTGTGTGTTCTCAGTGATGAAACCAGATGATGGACAGAACTCCGAAGGATGAAGGGAAGAGGAGGACAGCTACAAAGACAACAGGATTATTTTGGTGTTTTTCTACATGAGAGCGGTGGGGAGTGATTACTGTTGGTGGTTTTAGGACACGTGATGCTTAGCACTGGTTATGCTTGTTTTGTAACTTGGGTCAGACCAGATGGGTGGAGCTTCTCTTGCTCCATCCACCTTGCGCTTTCTCAGGTTCAAAACCTAATTATTAAAGCAAAATCACTGGATGAGATGATCACAACTTCTTCTTCCCTTTTTTTTAAATTGCCAGTCACATCTTCTGCAGAGTAGACCTGCACAGTGACTAGACTGAAACACGACTGGATTTCCTTCCTAATCTGTCCAAATTATAACACAAAATGAGAGAAATAGTTCACTTCTTGGTTTGTTTTGTATCATTCACATTTTCTCTGGATTGAAGTCTGCACTTAATCTCTTCTGTCTGCTGTTGGCGTTGGGGGTTCAACTGTAACAAGCTGTAATTGATTTATTTCAGAAAACACTCAAACACACTGTAAGATTAATTTTTCTCTGTTTTTATGTGTTAATCTGCCTTTTTCATGAATGTTTTTATTAATCACAATTAGTTTTCGACATAAACCAGCTGGATATTTAATCATCTGTAGAATTTTAAACCAGTTGTGAAACTACCAAAAAGCAAAACAAGCTTTTATTTTGTAATTTCTACCACGAATGTAAATTATGTCCGTTTTCTTGTTTTCTCTGTACATTTAACTGAGCACACCTGCAGAGCGTTGCAGCTCTTTAGCTCTCTGGGTTTTCTCTGCAAGGTTGGAGTAAATCACAAACTAGTGTGTTTTCCATGAAATCAGACGTTCCTAGGCCTGCAGCCACAGATTCATGTTAGAAATAAACTCTGACAGAGTTTTGCGTTAGCGTGAATCAGAATTGTAGGTGTGTGTGTGTGTGGGGGGGGGGGGGGGGGGGGGGGTGTCGTTGTTGCGAGTGTTTGAGGTACTTTTTTTTTCTTTAAACTCTGAAAGATTTTAGATTGTCCCAGCGTTCTTTTTTTTTCTTCATCTTTGTACGTAAACCACAACTTTCGTCCTTTTTCTGTCAGTTGACCAGAAACCAAAACCACTGGATAGCATGATCACGCGCCTGCTGTAGTCTGATGTAAATATTCTACACTGGAACGGTTTTCTTTTTTAAAAAAAAGGCCACCTCAAACCTGCCTTTTTGCCATTTTTTATGCTTGTCTACTGATTCCACTCAGACTGATGGTGTCATGAAACTTTTTTGTTGCCATATTTCTGTAAAATGCTGTGGTATGAAAGTAGCTTTTTTTTAGGGAGGGGGTGTTATTTCTTAACTACTGAATTTTTTTTTCTTTCACTTGTTGGGAGAGGAGATTTTTTTATATGAATTTAGGGTTTTTATTGTAAATGAGATATTCTCAGTGCTTTACTTTTCTCTTTTTTATTGTATACTGTATATTTTGTGGTACACTGTTTGTGACCCATGTGGTGTGTTGATGTATCATTTTATCTTGTCCAGCTGTGTAGAATTTATTATGAAAAGACCTCAAGAAAGCCAGTTACACCCCACTACTCTGTTTGTTTTTATTTCTGTTAAAACCTTTCGTTGAATTATTAATATATGTGAATTTGGAATGAGAATATGGTGCAAAAGTCCATTTATTTCATTAATTCAACTTTTCCTTACTTTCCACCGAACGCTAAAGTCTCGCAAAATGGCTGCAAAGTGTACTTTGCTGTAATTATAGTGGACGGGTTTGTTTCCACAGGCAACAAAGTGTCACGTCACATTTTGGACGTGTCCCAGAGGCAACAGGATGTGTCCATTACATAAAACATACAGAGACTTTCAAAATAAAAGGCGTGTAGCAGTTTACTTGCTTAATTAGTGAAAATTGTCCACGGTTTCTCGTAAAAGCTCCAAAGCAGAGATAAACAGAACAGACATGAAACCGCAGACCTTTTACGGGACATGCAGCCATCTTTGTCCTTCCTTGTTATCATGTGAACTTTGAAATCACGCGTGGTGTTGCAGTTCTCCCTTGATTTTGTGAGCTCGCAGGACCAGCTGAGTGGAACGCTTTCACTCCCGTTTGGTGTCTGAAGCGCTCCCAGTGGGAAGGGAGCTTGCTGGTAAAACGCCTCTGTTATGTTACTCACTGATTTTAAATGCTCATGAACCATTTGCAGGTGATGTGGAGTGATTAGCTGATTAGAGTGTGCTGATAAAGGCTTTGGTTTCATTTCACCTTTTAAATTGATTAACTGAAAAAAATGTTTGTTAGCACAAAAATTTCATCGTAATTAAGAAAAAGCATGTTTATTAAAACCCATTATTATTAGTGATGCACCGATATGAAATTTTTTGTTCGATACCGATATCCGATATTGAGATCACTGTCATGTCCGATAACTGATATTTGCCGATACCGATATGCTGACATTAATGTCTCTAAAATCAGAAGATTTTGTATAGAATGAAAATTATTAAAGCTGAATTTACATTATTATGTACACACACCACACACATGTATGGTGATGATTGGAGATGATTTCATTCACTGTCACATGACTAAACAATCACACATCACCCCCTCACCCTCTGAAACAGGCAAACAAATGGTGACAAAATATAGGTTGATATTATCGGCACATTTTTTTATCAGACCGATACTGATATGTAAAAAAATGACCAACACCGGCCGATACCGATAATGATGCCGATATATTGCCCACCCCTAATTATTATCTCTAAAATATCTTCACAAGCCAGAAAACCAAACACCTGTGAGTGGTTTTAGTTTCACTTCCTACAAAACTAATTCTAAATTGATTCCCTTCATGCTCTAACTGTTAATGTCTTTGGTGTAACCAGTTCATGCAGATTTGATCCACATCGACTGATCTAATGATTTGTTCTGAAAGAACCTGTAAATGAACAAATCCAACACTCTGCCTCGGGGATGCAATATCTCAGCTTATTTTACGATGCGGGTTTCTGTCATCTTGATGGCAATTCTGAAAAATTGCACCATCAATCATCAGCAAATGCATAAATCACCAAGAGTTTCCTGGATGATTCTTAACAGTAACAACCGTGCTTGTGATCAAATCCACCAGTAAATTATCAAACAAGATTAGTCAAATCAGTAACACTTCATAATAACTACATCTTATTTAGCCTTAATTACACAAGAACAAACATGTAAGTAACTACTAACAAATAATTAACAGTGACTCTTACTTAATAAACAATTAACCAATGCATTAATTAATGCTTTGTTTTTAATGATTAGTCCCTTGTAAAAGCTGTTTACTCATTTCTTATTCATATGTAACAAACCATTAACAAAGTACTTTTAAGCAACTGACTAACACATTAATTAATGCTTAACTTCTAATGACAAGTTTCATGTAAATGCTGTTTATTTATGGCTTATTCATACTTAACAAACCATGAACAAAGTTCTTATTAATCCATTTTTACTTTCACTGTTACCCAATTTAGATATGTCATAATGATTAGGAGGTAACTAATACGTGATTTACTAATTCTGCAATGCATTATTAATTAAGTGGATAGATAATAGCTAATTAAGCCTATTTTGAGACTCTTTCTGAAGTGAAGACTGTTTATGCTTAATTAAATATTTGTTGACATATTTATTCTTTCTGTGGACCTGGTGTCCCTACTGAAGACTATGACTTCAATGAAAAAATAATACATGACACTGGAATGAGGGAAATATCCTTTGTATTTACATTTTGTAAATCTGTATAACATACTATATATATATATATATATATATATATATATATATATATATATATATATATATATATATATATATATATATATATATATATATATATATAAAACAATGAAACATGTGCCTCATCAACATACATAGTGCCTGGACTGGTTAACACTAAATTATTATAACAAACTAAAATATTTGCATAAGTGCAAATTAAGCAGACTCCATCGAAACATGTAAATGAGTAATTAAGGCTAAATAAGATGTAGTTATTATAAAGTGTTACCGTAAAATCCAGTAAATCTATGAATTGGAAGGTTGTTTTTGTCCTCTAGCATTACATAACAGCATCTTCCAACCTTGCACAATGACGTGGAAAGTTAAGCCAGCACCAGGTTCGTCTATACCACCTCTGCAGCCACAGGCCTCACAACCACTTCACAGCTTTTCCATTAGCGAATGAAAAGTCTCCTGTCAATGTGACCCGGTCAATTTGGTCCACTCAGAGAATACAAAGCAGAAAAGATGAAATCCGCTGTATGAAAGTGGGTGGACACAAAGATTTTACTGCAAAGAGACAGTGTCCTCTTTCGCTGATGTAATACTGGTGAAGTGTTATGTCTGCACCTTTGTGGGCATCTCAAAACCTGTAAAAGTGCTGATATGTAGGGTTCCAGTTGAGCATTATTCCCAAGATGCACTGGCTTTGGTTATAAAATTATATATTTCCTATTTTCCATTTAAAAGTAAACAGCTCTGTTAATAAAACCAGTGTCCCGGTGAGCTGCTACTTTTGACATCTAGTTGAAAACTTGAAGCAGCAAGAAAATATTTTAAATTTAAAGGGGGCAAAAATAAATAAATGGATAAATAAAAACTCACCTTTTGTTCTGCCGTGTAGGTTTCTACTGCCTTTATAAACACTTCAAACGTCACAAAAATACGTCTTATCTGTTGTTTGTCACTGTTTGGTTTAACAATTACATGCGTAAAACAAACCATTTCAAAAAGCCCTGTTTGTGATGTCACAGATGGAAAAAACTAGCATAGCGCCACCTCTCATGTGTAACAGAGAGCTGCTGTTGGACGAGCAGCAGCTCTATTCTGAGCCCCTCCTAGATATCAGAGCTTCTAAGCTTATAGCAGCCTGAGCGGGGGTGGGTAGGCGTGGCCAACATATGGGATAGTTTGCATGCTACAAAATTCCTGCAACTCACAGTAAAGCCTGATTCATGCTTCTCCGTCAGCTCCGCAAGGGACAGACACGCACGGATTGACGGAAGTGTTTTGCCCTCATACTTCTCCGTCTCCTGGGGAGTGTTGCAAAGCAATTCCCCGCCAGGACAACAGAGGGCGTAGCGCTGTTCTGAGGTATCCTGTTGTGTATCCGGTCCAAGATAGTGTGTTTATATTATGTTTTTTGTAGATAAGAGACTTTTTAACACAGACAAATTTGTCTCTCAACCTCCTCCACCTCTTCATGCACTCCCCACCTCTAAACCCATGTTTCCTGTCATTTCCGTCCACAAATAAAACGCTTGCTCCACATCTTTTCACTCCTCCAGTCACGGGGGAATTAAACGTTCATATTTTAGAGTTTTTTCGCGAGGTATTCTTCAAGCTTCTCCGTGTCTGCCGCTAGTTATCCTCGGCTCTCTTTATGTTTTTGAGGGCACAATGGCGGCGGTGTAGACGACAGCGGCGTCCTGACCAATCACAAGCTTGCGTTCTTCGTCTCGACGGACAAATGTTTAGAAAAGAGGGCTCGACTCCGTCCGTCCTTGCGGAGCTCTCCAGCAGGCCCGCAAGGACGTTGCGTGTCTCCACACTGACACAGACGGAGAAGCATGAATCTGTCATGTTCTGTGTCCCTTTGTTCCCCAGCCCCTCCAGTTCCCACTCCAGGTTCTCCTTTTGTGTGTCATAGCGCCCTCATGTGTCCTTTGTCTGCATCTCATTTATGTGTCTCCTGTGTTCCTTTAGTCTTCTCCAGTCACCCCTCTGCAGTGTTTATAGTTTCAGCTTTTCATTTTTATTAGTCTCTTTAATACGGTTTGTCCCACCGGTTTTTGTAGTTCTCCTTCCCTTTAGAATTTTAGTTATATGGTTGCTTTTCTGTTTTTAGGTTCACTCTTTGGTCATGTTAGTTTCTTCCCTGATTAGTCATTGCTTTCACCTGGTCCTCCCCCCACACTCCACACACCTGCAGCTCATCTGCCTCCCATTATGCCCCAGTGTATTTAAGCCCTGTCTTGTCTATGTGTCTTGTCGGTCCATTGTCGTTTGTTGTAATTCAGTCTAGTTCTTCTCGTGCCTCTAGTATTTTTGGCTCTCCAGATCTCTATCTGGATTTTTGGACTGTTGGCTCCCAGCCTTTTTGATTACTTTTGTTTTTGGTTACTCCTAAAATAAAGGATTGCACTTTACATCTTCCCCAGCCTCGTGTCATCCTGGGTTTCTGCATATTTGGGTCCTAAACATCCCCAGATCGTGACAGAATCAGGCTTAGGAGAGAAAACCCTTTGCAGATACTATGTGCTACTTTGGAAAATTCCTGATGAATACCTTTAAGTTTTAAAATCTCAGCTGAAGAGTCTCTACGTTTGGAATCTTCAGACGTGTGACAGAAAGAAATAATGCGTGCACTTTGTTTGAAAACTTTGTTTTACAAATAATGAGAAGATCAGTGCTTTTTATATTTTTCTGACAATGAGAGGGATTACGTCACTCTTCCTGAAAGTCTTTCCCTTCTTCCCTCCTCTTTCCTGTCTCCACGCTGAGTCTTCCTGCTCTCTTCACTGGGTTTAGTTA